AGAGGAGAGGAAAGGCAGCAGAATACAACAGACACTAGTATGGCAATATGTAAATCAGTGGATGTGTAACCGATGTGATTCTGCAATCTGTATACGGGGTAAAAATGGGAGTTCATAACCCACTTGAATCAAAGTGTGAAATATGATATGTCAAGAACTATGTAATGTTTTGAACAACCAACAATAAAAATTAAAAATAAATTAATTAATTAAAAAAAAGACACAAAATCTTCACAAGATGTTTACTGGTTTATACATCCTCAGAATGATTTTACATGTATGTGTATAAACCCATTCTTCTGTGTGCCTGTTGATGTTTTGTAGGTGTGAGATACTTTGTTCAACCCCACAGCTTGCATAAGGAATTTGTGATATGACAGGATAAAATCTGATGAAGTTGAGCCCCATCTTATGGAGGCTATTTCGTGTGTAAATGAAGACTGCCTTTTCTCTTTCCTGAAGAAAAGTCTGACAGTCTTTTAAATGATGGACTAAGCTCTGCCCTTAAATTTATCTTCAGGAAGGTACTGGAAGRGCTGGGGATGTGCCTCAAGTGGTAGCTCACCTGTCATGCGTGCGGCCCTGGTTCGATCCTCAGCACCACATACAAACAATGATGTGTCCGCCGAAAACTAAAAAATAATTATTAAAAAAATTCTCTCTCTCTCTCTCTAAAAAAAGAAGGTACTGGAAGAAGAGCAGAATATAAGAATTATTAACTATTATACCTTTTTGGGAGAAGAGCCACCTCAAAATCTTTCCAAATTAGCAGCTATAATTTTCTTTTAATTTCAAGTTTTCTTGGGATCATGAAATTAAAATATTCTATTCTTACATTTTTGTTCCTTGTTTTTTGATTTTTTTTTATAAGCCTTATCATCTTCCTGAAATCTCTTGACCCCAGTCCCTCAAAAGATCAACAGAGCAGGAGATATAGCTCACTGGTAGAATGTCTGCTTAGCATGGTAGGCCTTGGGTTTGATCCCCAACACCAAAAGAGAGAGAGAGAAAAGAGGGAATTTTTTTTTTTTTTTTTTTTAAGAAAGTATAGTTAACTGGGGCTGGGGAATAGCTCAGTGGTAAAGCACTTGCCTAGCATGCACAAGGCCCTGGCCCTGGGTTTCAATCATCAGCCTCACAGAACAGTTAACTATGTTCTTTTCTTTGAAACAACCATGTTAGGGAGAGAAATTATTCCCTTTAGTTTGAATAGTAGTGCTTCTGAATTGCTTGGAAGTAGTTACATATGAATCTTTGTATAAACTTGTATCTCTCTTATTTAAAAGAAGAGATGAAGGAAAGGAATTAGCCCATTAATTATTTAAAATACTTGGTGCAACTGTTCCTATGAATTAATCCAAGCACTTGGAAGACAATTACACTCAGTATTAATAACTTTGCCAACCTTTTCCAGTATGCTGCACTCCAAATACCATTGTGTTTTCATTGACAACATTCACTATTACATATGCATATGAAAAACAGGCATTTTCATCAGAATTACTGTAATAGTATTAAGAGATTATTATTTTTTCCAATTTCCTTGGAAGAAAATTTACTTAAATTAGATTATTTATTACTTGACTGCTCTCCTATCTTGCCTGTATGTTTAAGTAACTGGAGTCCATGGAAGTATAAACTTCAGAATATAAAGCATGATTTTATACATTAATGATTTCAAATAAAAGAGGAGGGCTATTTTCCTGCATCACTTCTTTCAAGAAAGTTAAATCTGTGTTCTGCTTAGGAGAGATAACACTTTTTGTCCCTGTAGGTGGCCCCCCTGGTGTAGCCATTAGTTGCTAATTACTTGCAAACAAATAAACAATTAACTCCTTAAGCTGCTGGCTGGGCAAGAGTTCATTGACATGCTAAAACTTTCTAAAACAAGATTTTAATTAGTGACGTTCTAAATCCAGCCCCCTTGTCAGCCGAGCTATAAGTTGAGCTGCAGGAAGATTCCAGCCCCGTACGTGTGGGGCCAAGCCATAAGAAAGGCCAGAGCTTTTGCTCTGTAGCCCGTGAGAGGATGTCTCCCAGCCTTCATGAAGGTGCTCAGCTTAGGGAAAGCAAACCCTCACCTTGTTCCTTTTCAATTGAGAGCATCTTAGGACTGGACCAGAAGAAAGATTGTGTTCCATCCATGAAACCTCACAGGCCCTGGGCAGACACCTGCAACTCCTCAGGTATGCTAGTACTTAATATTTAATTTCATTTGAGTTTTAGTTTGTCCTTTATTTCCCGCTGCATACAGTTAGAAACTATGTTTTCACTCATGATATAGCTGAAGCATCTAGCGCTTGTAATGCTTCCATCTGGGTCCTATCGGAAATAAAAATGCCTTAGATCTTAGTGGGTATAAGTTCATTCACAGGCAATGCTAAAAGTCTGCATTTACTTCAGAAAATTTGTTTATTTGAATCATTAGATAGTCTATACCTATATACACTGAAAAATAAATAATAAAATACAAAATGCTTTCTGTCACCAAGGCAGGATCTTCATTCTGGCTTTTGAGTTAATGAGGGGGCAGTTCTTTTATGAAACTCAGGATTCCACCAAGAAAATTAAAGACAAGTTACTGAAATTACTTCCTATAGAACTTTGTGGAACATAGTATTGGCCACATAAGATGGGGTTTATTTTTCTGATTTTAGAGAAAGATGCTAACCTATGTCACGGCTCGAGTCTTCCCAATGGGATCTCATTTCCTTGTATGGTGGATCACCCAATGCCAGAAGAAAGAGCTTTGAAATATGAAAATTACTTTTCAGCCTCAGAAAGATTATCTTTGAAAAAAGAGTTGAGTTGGTATAGAGGCCGAAGACCTAGAACTGCTTTTACCCAAAACCAGGTGGGAAGTGTTTTCATCCATTAATGGTAATACAAAGCTTTAGTTGATGTTCCCTTGAGCAAAAGGCTATTCATTCACTTTGGGATCACAGTTTTAGAAGCCTTGTTAATGAAACAATAGACTATCATATTTTAACAGTTTCTGGATAATCACTTTAAAAGCGGTATTTAAATTAGTTGCCCAAAGATTGAGGGCATTTATTTTGTTATACAAATTAAAAGCCCATTTTGGTGACTTATGGAATATCAACATTTTAAAGAATTTTTTTTGTTATTCTAGATTGAAGTATTGGAAAATGTCTTTAGAGTAAACTGCTATCCTGGCATTGATATCAGAGAAGACTTAGCTCAAAAATTGAACCTAGAAGAAGACAGAATCCAGGTAATTTTCAAATTTAGATGTTACTTGTGATGATTGAAATATTAATAATAATAAAATAATGTTTCTGAGACCCATCTTATTTTTCCTTAATTTTAGATTTGGTTCCAAAATCGGCGTGCAAAACTGAAGAGATCCCATAGAGAATCACAGTTTCTAATGGCGAAAAAAAATTTCAACACAAATATCCTGGAATAGGTAGAAAACTAAACATGTGAAATTATCTTCCAATTGCAGATCATGAGAAATAAATGCAAATATCAAGTGTTAAAAATGTAATGTTTTTTTTCCTGCATTTAGTCTAAATATTATCCTTTTTTTCCAAAATGTATTGTAAATAATTATGATTATAGCATGGTACACATTATATTTGGACACTGTTGGTTACAATAAAGACCTTTCCTATATATTTTAATAAAAATTTTCAGAAAAGCTAGCTATTTTGTAAGTGAGCAAAGTTAATCTGATAAATTAGTATGCTAAAATCAGTAAACTCCTGACTAATTCCACAAGCTGGATTCCATTTACAGAATATTTCAAGTTAAATAATCCAATCTACTTCAATTAGTTTTCTTCAAACACATTTGAAACATGATTATGCTTAACCATATTATAAAATATGATTTATTCATGAATCTTATGTGTGTCTTTTTTATTGGTGCATAATAATTTTACAGAATAATGGGTTTTATTATGGCATATTTGTATATGCACATAATTTGACCAATTTAATTCCCAGAATCTCTTCTTGCCTCTCCATTCCTCCCTTCCTCTAACTTCCTTTCTCTACCCTGCTGGTCTCCCTTCTATTTTTATGATATCCCTTTTCCCCTTTTTCTCTCTGTATCTTCCACATATGAAAGAAAACACAACCTTTGATTCTCTAAGTCTCACTCATTTCAGTTTCTCTTGATTTATAGATTTGGCAGTGAGAATTTCTCACCATATATCAAAATAAATCCTGATAACATGCCAGGTGCTGCATTTTTTAAAAGGGAATCATTGTGTCAAAGCAGAGATATATAAAAGCATCAGCTGTCATATTCACACCATTGATAGTGCACTGAACAAAAGAATTAAGCTACAAATGCAAAATTTTCRGTCTTCTAGTTCATTTAATGTTGTGCTCTACATTCATTCCTTTAAGTGACAGTGATTATCTGGCTTTTATCTATAGCCTGTTAAATGATTTCCAGTCAGTTGTACATTTTGTTATAATGTTATATTGACTGAGAAGGTAGGATAACTGGCCTGCCTTTTGTTTGTGCTGACATAGTCACTGAAAATAATCAGGGCACTTTCTAAATAAAAAAAAAACACTTTCTTTTCATTTCCCATTTTACCATTGTACTTGCCATTTAAAGATGGGGAGAGGAGATGTGTGACAAGAAGGGAATCCTCTTCCCTGGAAATCTGAGTGTTTGTTTTCTAGTTAATAGAAGACCTAAATGGGTGGGTGATTGTTGTTGGGGTTTTTGTTTTGTTTTAATATTAGCTTGAGGATTCCCACTCTGTCCAATGAAAGCCATTTTCAACTTTGTCTATTCAAATTGAATTCTCCCTTGTTTCCCTTTTCCTTCTTCCCCCAATGTCCTTCCTCTCTCCCAATGATGATCAGAGTGGAAAGTTCTTGTAGAATTATTGAATCTGTAACCATTACACATTTTTTTCTAGGAGRTATGTAGAGATAGAGAAAGAGAGATATGGAGAGAGAGAGAAATGTATTTTTTTTAAATTGAGGAAGTTTGTCTATTATGTCTGAGGAAAAGCAGCATGACCCCAATTTTAGAACTTTTAAAATCACTTATTAAGCACACATTTGGAGTACAGAGCTCTGTGTCCCAACAACTGGTCAGCAATAAACTGCTTATTCTGTTCTATTGTGAGACAGGGAAGGAGGAGGAAATGAAGAATAGCAGGGAGACAAGAGGTGTTACATATAAATATCTTCCRAGGTAGTCTGGGCCACTTTTTCCAATAGAATTCATTATTGGTATTAGTCAAAATTTTTCCTCAGGGAAACTTCTTTTATCCCCATTAGGTTCCAGTGAAACTTGATTAAGTTGGAATACTAGAAATCACCAGGAGTAGGTCTTGGGGAAATGGGTTGGAGAGAAATGTGTCATGTAATATAAATTTKTATTTAATCCTCCAAATCACGTTTTATATACTGAAAACAATTTAAGCAATATAGAATCTCCCTCAAACCTCATCCTTCACATAACCATCATTAAATGTTTTCAAAGGTCTTTTTGTATATCATAAAAGCATCTATGTGTATATTTACACACTCACACATTTATTGTTTTTGCTGTTCTTTTTTTAGATGTGATCATACTTTACAATTTGTTCTGCATCTTTCTGATACCTTGCTATGTCAGAATTACAGCTTTTTCTCCTTAATATCTGAGGAGTTTAGAATAACATTTCAAATATTGCACAGAACAAGAAACTATTCCATGCTACATGTGGTGGTGCATGCCCAGGAGGAATGAGACAGGAGAATCAAGAGTTTAAAGCCAGCATCAGCAATGGTGAGACCCTGTCTCTAAATAAAACACAAAATAGGGCTGAGGATGTGGCTCAGTAGTCAAGTCCCCTGAGTTCAATCTCCGGTACCAAAAACAAAACAAAACTATTGCACAATGTTAATATTTAGCATTTTTGAAATAGTGCTTTTTATAAATTGGGATTTTCAAAGAGAAATTAGTTTGTCTAGGATCTGAAGAGTATAAGGATTCTGTATAAAACTATATAAAATCTAGAAGAAATGTAATAGTATTACACTGATCAACTAACACCTAATTTAATCATAAAATTTATCATATTTGTAAAAAGTCTGGTGACTACAGAAACAGAGTAACTCCAGAATATTATTATCTCAGTATTTTCCAGCAACAATTTTATGTAACTGATTTGGGTAGTCCTAAAATTCAAGTCCATTTATTTATAAATAAAGTGTTTACTTATAGCTGAAATAAATTGTGTTTATAACTAAAGATATATATATATAACTGAAGTAACTTATAATAGCAATAACACCTTTATAACTGAAACATTTATTTAAAAGTAAGAAAAATGGGGCTGGAGATGTGGCTCAAGCGGTAGCGTGCTCGCCTGGCATGCGTGCGGCCCGGGTTCGATCCTCAGCACCACATACAAAAACAAAAGATGTTATGTCCGCCGAGAACTAAAAAATAAATATTAAAAAAAAAACTCTCTTTAAAAAAAAATAAAATAAAAGTAAGAAAAAGTTAAYGTAACACCAGAATTTATAATATTAAACGAGTAACTATAAATGTAATGTGTACATCCTTTTATTTTTTCTAATACTAATAGTGGAATATCAGTTTTAGTTCAACTTTTATGAAGCAGATTCACCATATATAAGAATATTAAAGAAGCAAGATAATATATAAGATCACTACTGTATTTACCCTAAAATCATTTTCAAAAACCTAAAAGGGCTGGACAGAGTGATACGCACCTATAATTTCTGCGAGTAGGAAGGCTGAGGTAGAAGGATCACAAGTTCAAAGCTAGCCTCAGCAATATATCAGGACCCTGGGCTGGGGATGGTAGCGCACTCACCTGGCATGTGTGAGGCACTGGGTTCGATTCTCAGCACCACATAAAAATAAAATAAAGATATTGTGTCCACTTAAAACTAAAAACTAAATATTAAATATATATCAGGACCCTGTCTCAAAATTCAATAATAAGTGAATTATTAAAAATGAAAAAGAACTGGGGATGTAGGTCAGTGATAAAGTGCCCCTGGATTCAATCCTCAGTATAAAAAAGTAAAACAAAATCCTATAAGTTAAGATTGATCTTATTAAAGGAAATAATGAATCAGTAACATTTTTTGGAATTACAATTGGTAGTAATTTGGAAAGAATATGATATTCGGGGAAAAACTGGACTTTAACTTTGATGAAATATCAAGCAAAATGAAAATGGAAATAAAAATCTAAGATAGAATTCTCTTTCCCTCAAAACCCACAGGCTCTAATCCATAGTTTATCTCTGCTCCTGGTAATTCCAGGCCTTTGTCTCCATTAATGCCCAGGACAAGGTGAATAGTAGTAACAAATCAAACTAATGCAGTCAGGCTAAGACCTAGAGCGTCTCTATTATCTGACAACTGCCTAAATGAGGTTATTTGGTCTCCTGTAATGGCATTTGTCTCTTGTGAAGCCAGCCAGACAAAGCCCATCACTAAAGAGTGCTGGAGGAAACAATGGCTGTGTGTGCTGGTGGTCAACTTTTGAGTTAATCAGTGTTAATAGCCGCTTTCAGGGCCTATATCTTATCACACATCACCCGAATGGCATAAATCTCCTATTACCAAACCCATCAACCTGGGTCTCATGCCAACCTCTAAGGGCAGGGAGCCCAAAGCCAGTCTGTTTACTTGATATAAAACCCATATCACTATGACAGATGATGACTTGCTATCTCCATTTCACTGAGCCCCACAGCAATAAAAACTCCTCTTTTGGCTAAATTTAATGCTCATTTTTACTCTCCTTCCTTTTTGGGAACCCTCCCACAGCAAGCAGTCAAGGCAGCTGTTGTTGGTTCTCACTGCTCCATACCCTATTAGATTCACCCTCCCCATTTTCTTCACTTATTATTCTGCTTCTTTTCCTCTTTGGAATTATTTATTATTTATTTCCTTGCAAGTATATTGTTATAAACAGGCTTTATTGAGTCCCGCAAATGATCCTCCAGTCAAAAAAAGTTTATGTTATGCCTTCTTTCTAGTGTAAAATCACCAATATTTAAGAACTTCATGTTTGGTCTCTTCCTCCAGGTATCTTACGGTGGTCTAGGAACYATCTGCTTTAGCATTTTATGACAAGGTAATTTCAGTAAAATAAATGAGAGCATAACTTGTGTCCTATTGTCCTATTTACCACATCAAAAGCTTGTAAATAACCTGAGTAGCTGCTTCCCCTTTAGGTTGGTTTCCAAATGGAGAAACACTAAGAAGACCTAAATCAACCTGCAGTTTGGAGCCAAGCCCTGTGGGGCCTGGTTACACACTGCCAAACCCCTCCACTGACCCACTGACTGGTGAGCAAGCTGAGTTTAAGGACTTAGAAAAACAGCATTGTTGCAGCTATTCAAGGTACTATACATAGTTTCTCTTATTAAAATTTCAGTTCTTTATATAGTAAACATTTGGCTACTATATTTTGACTCATGATTTATTTTTTTAAATATTTTTTAGTTGTAGATGGACACCATTCCTTTATTTTATTTACTTATTTTTATGTGGTGCTGAGGATCAAACCCAGGACCTTGAATGTGCTTAGGTGAGCTCTCTATCGCTGAGCCACAATCCCAGCCCCATGATTTCTTAACACCTTTGAATTTTGTGACTTTTGCATACAAAAATTTAAATATTTTTACTTAAATCTCAGTCTTTTCCTTCATGACTTTTTCTGGGGCTTTATTGGACACCTTCTCATTCTTTTTT